AAGTATTTTATTGACTATCTTATGCTTTCTGCAACACAAATATATAAACTGAATTTTAAGCTTTCTATAAAATACTCAAAAGCATAAACATTTCTTCCACATTGCTTTTTACAATTATTAGAATATATAATTGATAAAAACTAATGTTACAAGTGTTGGTTAAAATTACATTTTATGTTTATTGCCTTACTGAAAATGACTTCCATTTAATGAGAAAGATGGGTTCCCCCCCCCATGCATTCTTGCATCTTTGGATCAGTATTACTGCATGAGTGAAACAGTGTTCCTTATCATTTCTATCCCTGTTGTTCTGCTGTTTTTATAGTTGATAAACATTGAGAAACCCTGATAGTCTTTATGATAGCAAATTAAAAATAGTAGAAATACTTTTAAGAGTTTGGAAATGGAAGATCCTTTATAGCAGTACCACTTGGTTGTTTTTATTTCTTCCTAGCTATGTGACCAAAAGTGACTGATGTGTTCTCAAAAAAATTATTTGTAATCTAAAGAGATTATTGGTCTCAACTCCATGCAAATGGATAATCAGTAGAAAAATAAAAATGTCCCAATCTGACCCTGAATAAACTAGAAAATCTTATTAGGTGTGTTAGCAGAATGGAGAGAAAGTTGTCTAAGAACTGCCACCCAAAGAATCAGACTCAGGTGATTCAGACTTAACAGTTCTCAATGTAATTTTATGAAAGCTAAAAATTTAGATTTTTATTAGAGGCACTCACATTACCATAGATATTTGCATTTCGTTTGCCTCTCCTCTTCCCTATGTTTTTTTGCCTTATGGCAATGCACCACAGTAAGATTTGGAAGGTTAGGAGATGTGCCTTTTGTAAAGTAGAAGATTAGTTGTAAATTGGGGATTGGAAAAGGCAAATGGAGTAATTCCTGAGACCCAGCCCAAATCGTGACCACAAAAGCATTCACAGGCATATCGGTTTTAAGATACAAATTTAAGATAGAAGTGCAGAAGCTGGAAATGAACTCTCTTAAAACTATCCTTACCTACATGCCTTGTCAAGTAGGCTCAGGAACACATTGACCTACGTTTAAAGAGCACTATGATGGTATTTGCATATTTGCTTAGTTGTTGCACCAGGATAAATACTAACTTACAAGAATGATAGATTTTAAAGAATGCACTTTTTGGCAGCGATGCCAATATTGCCGAATTGTGCTTGTTGACAATCTCGAAAGTCAGTGCCATCCTGTTTCCCATACCCTGCCTTCATTGAGATAGTCTTTTTTTGGTTTCACTTTGCTTTAATTTCTGTGATTACCATTGAACTCCAAAAATTTTAAAATTTATTTTAGAGTATTCATCTCTGTTTTTAGGAGTGCTTTCTACATAGGAATTCATGCATGCTTTGTCAAGTGTGTTACAGCATTTTTCCCGCATTTTTCCCACCACCAAACCTGGCTTATTGTTCTTTTAACCTCACTTAGATGTGTTTGCCGTACAGATAAATGTTTGTTTATTTGAATGGTGTAATCTAGCTAACTTTTGTGGGGTTTCAAGTCATGCTTATAAAATTTTATGAATTTCCTGTTCTTCCCCTGAATTATATAAAAATGAATCCATATGTTATTTCTAGTATTTGCATGCATTTATTTTTTATGGTGTTCAGGTAGAATGACTTTTTAAAATATAGTAGATAACATGTTTCAATGATACAAGAGTAAAACTGTTAGTACTATTCTTAGAAAACTTTACTGTTTTGAGAAGAACAAACAGGTACAGATAATAATGTAAAGTAACTAACTCATCTTCTGGAGAATTGGCATTGTTTTCAGTCTTTTTTTTTTTTTTTTAAGAGTCATGGTCTCGCTTCATCACCTAGGCTAGAGTGCATGGTGCAATGATAGCTCGTTGGAGCCTCCAACTCCTGGACACAAGCAATTCTCCCACCTCCCAAAGTGCTAGGACTACAGGTGTGAACCATCACTCCTGGCTCAATCTTTTTTTAAATGAGAGATCGATCACTAAGGTGGTGGAAGCACCTTTGACTGCCATCCCTTGCCCCATCTCCTCCATCATGTCTCCCTCCACCCTAGAAGCATCTGTTACCATGATTTGAAGTATTCTTCCAGTTCTTTTTTAAAACTCTTACACATGTATTCTTTAACATGTCTCCTTGGGGAATTTTTAAACTTAAATGGCATGTCACAGTGTATAATACGAATGTTCTACTCAAACATCTGGAATTGGACATGGTGGCGGTGTGGGCCCATAGTCCCAGCGACTCATACTCAGGAGGCTGAGGCAGGAAGATTGCTTCAACCCAGGAGCTCCCAAGCTGTGTGCAGTGATCATGCCTGTGAATGGCCACTGCACTCCAGCCTGGGCAACATATCTAGACCCCGTCTCTTAAAGACCGTTCTGTGATCTGCTTGTTCATGTCTAGTTAACAAAATGATTTTTAAAATTTTATATGTTCCTGTATATATTTCAGGTTTTTTCTGTGTAGTATTCTATCCTGTGAATACAGAATATTTTATGTATTCATTACCCAGTTTGAGGTTGTGTCTGATTTTTGGCTGTTATAAACAGTGCTATAGTGAACATCCTTGTGGGAGTCTCCTTGAAGATGTATGAGAGATTCTTTAGAATTTGTGTATCCACAAGACAGATCATTAGGTCATAGCATATGTGCATTTCAGTTAGATACTATCAAATTAACCTCTCATTGGCTGAAATATTGCACCTCCTACAAACAGTATGTGTGTTATTCTATATATCCTTGCAAATACTTGATTTTTGTCAGAATTTTTGTTTTTGCAAATCCAATGGATGAAAACTATTTTGTTGGTTTTCTCATGTATGTTTTCTTGACTCTGGTGATGTGATGGACCTTTTTATATGTTTATTGGTCATTTGGAGTTGCTCTTCTGTGAACTGTCTGTTCAGATCATTTGTCCATTTTTCTGTTGAATTACTGTTTCCCTATTAATTTGTAAGGGTTCTTAGTTTATTTCTTAATACTGCTGTTATATACATTCCAAGTATCTTCTAGTATATCTTACATTTTAACTTGCCACATCTAGTGCCACTCCAGTGTTTTTAATTTTGTGATAATCAAATTATTAGTTTTCCATAATTTTCATGGTCATGTGATTCATGACTTACAGTCATTTTAAAGAATTCTGTAACCTGAGATCCTAAAGATATCTATCTCTATTTTCTTCTAATAGCTGCAAAATGCTTTTCCATTTAGCCCTTTAACCCATCTGGAGTTTATGTGTATAAAGTATGAGGTAGTGATCTAAGCTTTTTTCCCTCTAGTGAAAGGCCTAATCTCAATACTTAGCAGTTCAGGATATCAAAAATGGGGCCTATAGTCCAATAGACAGTCTGTGATATAATTAATAGAGTAGCATAACAATAGAATGCTTTGTGTCTTCCTTATTATGACTAAATTCCCTGGCTGATATTGTCCATTGTGAGATGATTGTCTAGATATCTTGCTTTGAAAAGTATGCTTTTGGAGGGAATGTTTTATATGCATACCGAACATGTTTGCTTTGGAAAATTTAGAAAGTATAGCTAAGCCAAATGAAAAAATGAAAAGTATGTATCTATGCTCCCTTCATTCTGGCTCTAACTATCAGGTGTTCAAAGTAAGGTTTTCTTGTCTTTTTACATTAATGTAATAATAGTTAACATTTATTAAGCATTTTCTGTGTGCCAGGTACTATTCCAGCTGCTTTACATGTATTAATTCATTAATTCACAGTGACTCTGAGGGTGGGGGGTAGATATTTCTGTCCTCATTTTACAGATAAGGAAAATGAAGTACCAAATATGTGATTGGGTTTGGGGGGTTGTTTTTAGTGTTTATGAAATGCTGTTCATATAGTCTTATAGCTTGTTTTTTATATTATTATCTTCCTATGTGTATTTAGTATTCTGTTGTCATGAAATGCTATTCATATAGTCCTAGAACTTGTTTTTTTATATTACTAATTATCCTACTATGTGTATTTAGTATTCTATTACCTGCATAGTTCTATAATATATATAGGTGTTGGACATTTGTTTGCATTCTTACATTACTATAAGGCTTTTATGAATATTTATTTAGCAAAATTTCTACCTACCTCCTGTCTTCCTGATCTTCCTTGTAACAATCTGATAATCAAAAATTGATCGTTTTAATTTGCATTTGAGTACTTACTGATATTGACCCATAGTTATATACTCATTATTTCTTATACTTACATTTAATTCTGTAATTCACTTGGAAATGGGTGGGAAAGAAGGAAATGTTGTGAGAGAGGAAACTAATTCCCTTCTTCCTCCAAAATTACTTATTTGATATAATACTAGTTATTGAAAAATCCATATTTATTCCCACTGGTTTGAAACACATCCTTCATTGTAATACAACTCTGTTATACATAATCACTTAAGAATTTGTCAACTCTTCAGTTTCATTGATCTATTTGTTTCAGAGTATAGAACAAAATTTAGTAACTATTCTGTGGTATTTTAGTAACCCTCATTCCTGTCCTTTACCTGTAAATATAATAAATTTCCTTTTTTCCTTTTATATCAATAAGTTATTACTACAGTGTTATCCACAGCTTCACATCTGTAGAGTAATGATGCAAGAAATGTATTTCTGGCCAGAGACTTCTTTGCAGTCTGTTCTGTTTGATTGCAAATGAAGATACTGATCTATGCAGAACAGGACGTTGAGTTCATCTGGTCCTCTGCACCAATATGGAAATAGTGAACATGTGACTGTACTAACATGAAACCACTCTAGAACTTGTCTGCATTTAGAATTTTCACTAAGTTTATATTTAATAGATCGTGCGCATATATACTTTTCAATATCTTGTCTAATTGCTTGATTCAAAAAAAGTGACCCATTCCAGTGTGAAAAGTTTCTGACTAATTCACAATAAGAAGTAATTTTACAGCTTTTGCAACCAAGTGAGGCTCGTTTCATTTATATTGGGTTTTGTTTCTTCCCCTCCTCTAGGTAGCCTTTCCAGTAAATATATGACTCAGGGAAAAGCCTCAGCGAAGAGGACCCAGCAGGAATCATGAGGGAAGGAACTTGCAGCACTCTAAATGGCCACTCAGGCATTCCCATTGACTTGGAAAATTAGGTTCATTCCACAGGACACAGCAGCATAGATCAGGCTTCTACTTAACGTTGAAGGGAAATGTCAGGTTTTTTTTAATTTAATGAAACTCTTAATGAGGAAAAAAATTTTAATATAGTCTTATCTACCACAAATCCCTGTAGATTTAAGGATTTTGATAGGAGGCCATGATGTATGTATTTAAGCCAGGCTAAAAGAACAAAGTTAACTGTGGACTAGTATTCAATGAATACACTCATGGTTTTTAACTCTTTCAAAGCACATTGAAAATATGTGCTGATAAACCCCAAGTAAATTAATCCTTTTTTTCCCTACAAATCCTTTTTTTTGTTTTGAAGAGGGGAAATTATATTTATTGTTGTTTACTGAATCCTTGTGTGAGAGCGTATCAAATATGTGTGAACTGCTACTACTGTACTTCCAATTTACAAACATTTTATTGTTGTTTGTAGAAGTGATAACATGGACATGAGTACCTATTTATGTAGACCTTCAGTGGGTGAGCAGTGCCACTCAGAGGTCTCTGGGTTTTTCCCTCTCTAATTTTAAGTAAATTGACATATAACTACTACGCCTATAAAAATGAAGTAAGGAAACAAGTAGTCCTGTTTACCACTAAAAACATTTTCAAAGGAAAAATGACAAAATGAAAGTACTTTTTACTTTTTATGATATCCAGAAATTAAGGTGGAGAACTTTTTAGAATTTCTGATGATCAAAGAGGCTCTCTCTGCCAGTCACAAGTGTGGTTGGGGTCATTCTGGGTCTGACTGGAGCCTTCCTGGACTGTTGCTCTAACTTCACAAGCCCTGCAGATGTAGTACATGCCTCGGTTTATTTATCCTTTTGAAATAAAATCAGAATTTCAACCTGTAATTTTATCCACATTATTTGCTAGTAAAAGAGGCCTAAATTTCACAAGGAAACTAGATCAAGGAGTAGGAACGTTGGGAATGATAGTAAGAGGAGTCAGGGGGAAAAGGGTAAGAGTACAAATCTGCTCCTCGGTTAGAGTGTACACAGAGCTCCCGTTGACTTGTGCCCTTGCGATCAATGGTGTGTGTTACACTCTCTGTGTGCCAGCTCTGGAATGAACAGGTAAAAGGCACAGATTGAGGGAGAGGTGCACATAGGGAGGGACGCAGAGGGTGCTTGTTGGGCGGGCATTCCCAGATGTCTGGGGACTCATAAGATGCCTTCCCTTGTGCCCTTTTTAAAAATTCCTTGAAGTCATAGTCTAGCTTAAGAAGAGTCATGTCAAAATTAAAGACTTCAGAAGTTGTGGTAGAAAGAATTAGTGGTTGCTCCATAATCCGTTTGAACACAAATTCACGAATTACACAGCCTGAACTGACCCTGTTCTGCAGGACCTTCCTCAGCAGCCCCTCTGCTAGCTTCTTCCCTTGCTTCACACATGAAAAGTCTTTGCCCTTAGGATTCTTGTCATGTTTTCTTCTTCCAAAAGCCTGGTGATGCTGTGTCGGCCATTTTCTGCCATTACAGCAGAAGAGAAGTCTGACACCAGGCTGATTTCTGTTCCCTTGTAGGTTTTGTTTTCCTGTGTAGGTGCTTTTTTTAATTTATTTTTAATCCCTATAATTAAGAAAATTACCTCAGTCTAGAAATATGTCTCTCCAGTGACTTTCTTCTGAAACAAAAATGAACCAAATGTATCTCTACCTACTTGCTTTTTTTAATTTGAGAAATATCTTAGGTTCTTAATTTTTTTTTTTCCTCAAAACCCCTTGTATTTTCTCAATGTTCCTTTATCATTTCTTCATGCTAGGAAAACGTCTCAAATTTAATGTCTACTGACTTGTTTGATTTTTAGTATCATTCTATTGTTTTCTGTAATATGAATTTGTCACTGCACTTCTAATATTCTTAAACTTACCCACCTTCCTTGATCTCTCATTCCTTTAGATTACTCTTACATTCTCTTCCCTTTCATAGAAACCATGTTTTCTTGTATTCTTTTGAGGATGTTAAAAAGCATCCTACTTTTTATCCTGATTCTACAGTAGATTCTACCCAAAGTATCTGGGCTTTTGGTTCGATACTTGATTCCTCACACTGGATCTATGGGATGACCTGTTACTTGCATGTGGTCGCAGCCCCATCTTGGTGCCACAGCGGAGGGACTGGTGCGTCTCACCATGCCAGGGCCATCGCCCAGCTATCTTTCAAGTGCAGCTGGCCTATCTGTCCTAACAAGCTCCACAAATGCCCCACTACCACGGTTCTCCTTGCCACCTTCTCTCGGGAACAAAAATAGGAAATACGTTTTGTGTAACAGTGATCCAGTAGCCCCAATGTCCAGTTCTTAAAACTCTTGCTCTTCTGCAGTACCCATAGCAAACAGGTTTAAAGATGTTTTTTAAATGTTCTTAAATAACTTGTTTATTTTTAATCTTGAAATGTGCTTCACAATGGCTCCTATTTAAATATATTTATAATTTCTTGAGTGGAAAATATCCTAGATAAACAGGTCAATATTACAGACCCCCAAAAAGTTCAAAATAATTTAACAAAGCTTCATAAAACTGTAAAGATGTGCTCAGTACTTTTTTCTTTGGAAGCAGGCATACTTGGACAGCAGCAGTCAGGAACTTCACACACTTCACTGAGTATAACTCAAGATAGGTAGGCTCTGGCCTGGTCAGTGTTCCAGCTAAGGTGTAGTTCCCTTAACCTCGAGCGGTTCGGTTTCCATTCCTGTGAAATGGAAATCATACCTGCCCTGCTACAGAGTTGTGAGAAGTCTTACCAGGAAAACACTTTTTAAGATGTCCAGAACTGTGGCACTAAACCCTCAAGTGCAGTGGCGAGCATTTCCCCACTGTAAGTTCTATCACATCTCAGTGGAAATCTAAAAGTGGTTACAGCTTATAACTCCTTCCACACTTTCCACACCCACCTCATTTCAACACCTCAGCACAGACAGCTGCTGCTCTGAGATAAAGGCGCTCACACGTTTCTTGTATAATCACGAAAACTCTTCTAATGACATTTTCAGGGACAGTTTCAAATTACATTACATACGCCTGATCCACTGACAAGGAGATTATGTGACTTTGTGCTTATGTGAAAAAGAGCTAGCTACATTAAAAACTGAATAGTGGGTATTAAATAGAGGAAAGAAGTCTGTTACACGTACACAGGATCCAGAATTTTAAGAGTATAGGACTAGATTTTTGAAACGGTGCCTAATGCACTCCACTAAAAACCTTGGGTCTAAGCGTTCTCTAAAATAGCCATGCCAGTGCTTCCGTCCTGCTCAGTTCAAAGTTGTGAGGCTAGTATGAGGTAATGTGCTCAGCGGTTTTTTTGAAACCTATAAAGTGCTCCACAGCTGTGTAACATTTAAGTAATTGAAAAAAATTGAATTTGCATCTTTTATTCCCATTAACTTTTACTTTTAGAGCAGTTTTAGGTTCACCAAAAAACTGAGCAGGAAATACAGAGCGCTCCATGTATGTCCCAGGTCCCCACACGTGCCCACCTCCCCCTGTCACTCTGCACCGCAGTGGTACACTTGTTCCGATCATAAGCCTTCGTGGACACATCGTGATCACCCAAACCCACAGTCTGCATGACATTAGTTTGCTCTGGGTGTAAGTTGTGTGGGTTTTGGCAAACGCGTAATGACATGTGTCCACCACTATTGCCATTTCACAGTGCATGACATCTTTAAATATCCATTAACAATTAGCAGCGTTTCGGTGCTGCTGTGTGCCATGCCCTCTTCTAGGGTCTTCCTGTATTAACTCATTTAATGTTCACAGTATTTGTAGGAGGAGAAGTAAAATGCCTATCCTAAATCACCTAGCCAGTCAAAGATGAAGCCAAGAAACAAATCCACCACACTACCGCCTCTCCATCCAGTTCCTAAGCTGAGGCTTAGGGGGGTTAAAAATCCTCTCATGGTCACTGCGATTGTATTTCCGTAGCAGGAAGTCAACCCTGATGGCATTACGGACTACCCTTTCGGACCCTGCAGGCTCTAGGGGATCAAAGACAAACTGGGCCCTCAAACATGCTTCACTGATCAGTTCCTTCCACATCAAACACTGTTCTCCCCAGCACCGCTCCACAGCCTCCCTCTTGGCTTTTCTCCCTTCACCTCTAGCACTTCCCAAGAAATGCCACCTGTCCTGGTGTCCTCCTCCTCTTCTCATCTGCTAATCCTGCAGCACTTTATGCTGCCAGGATCTGTCACTCCCTGGCCCCTCTTTTCTGGCTTCCTGTGTGCGCCCGGCCAGTGCCTGGTGCTGCTGAATCAAAGGCGGAATGAAGCCCTAGGCAGCCAGGGCAAGGTCTGCCGACAGGCGTCCGGCCAGCTGACTCTCGCTCGCTCTACAGGCGACTTTCCCCGGTGTTGCCCCGTCGCCTCTTCGAGCAGGGCTGGGTTCCAAGTTCGGCGCCAGAAGGACGACTGCGCCCGCCACCACCCTGCTGCATCCCCGGCGGTACAGCACGCCGGGGAGGTGGGGAGCAGAGACCCATCGTACAACCCTTCGGAGTCGTTGCGCGCTTGAGAACTGCCCAGCGGGCCCGAAACACACGGA